GTATCAAGACAAGAAAGCTAGTTTGGTTAGTTTATGTAGAGGGATGCTCAGGAATGGTTTAAAATAGCTGGCGTTAAAAATTAAAAGGAAGATTCTCACTAAAATAAAGGCATTTGCAATGTCAAGAAATTGTGACACAGTCACTGCATTGTGTGAAAACAGGAAAACCATCATGTGAGAACATCCAACAAGCTAAATGTAAATTAGCCCGTAAACAATAGGAGGCGCAATGTAATTTTATATGTTGATCTCCTTCTATAACAGTCAAGTTTCTTTATTAATAAGTAGCAAGAGCTTGTTCATAGGAGTTCAACAAAACTCTTAAATGAGTTTTGCAGGCAGGGGGTTCTCTGTTATGTTTTTTTATGTCTCTAGATTTTTCCATGAAATTTTCTGTATTTCAGCTTTCTGCTTTTTGCCTTAAAATTGCCATTTACTGTTCACAGCTCGTTTTGAGCTACCTCTGCATCAGTTGATTGCATTTATCAACAAGAATACAAACTAATGGAGAGAGAATACAAGTGAAGTTTAACTTTCAGCGTTAGGGAGAATTTCTCCTTTTCTTGCTTTGATCGTGCTTCAGGTACTTCTGTCCACACGTCTATATCACATTTCATCAGCTTGGATTTTGTTATTCCCATCATACAGATGACTGGTTCTCAATTACTTCTGCCAATCTCTTGTGTTAATTAAGTATTTTCTTCTATTTTTAGACAAATCTAAAGTGGAAATATATACTTTAATGTCTTTCTGCATCATTTAATAAGAACTCATTCTCCCTATCATGAAAGATTTCAGGATCCTCTTATCTCTACTAGAAAACATAATTTTTCTTTTCTAGATTTTGCCTGTAAGTACAAGATACGGAACGCAAGGCTTCCTTCCTTTCCTTTCTTTACCTATTTTTTAATCTTTTAAGATCATCATCAGTTTTCAGATTAGACCATAAAAGACTTGCCAAGTAGCGTGAAAATTGTATTTTAAAACTATCTATTTTAAGTAGCCAAATTCCCAATCTTCTCAGTCTTTAGATGAAAAAAAAATACATGAGGGGGGAAAAAAAAAGCAGGCGTGATTCAGTTGTTCCATCCAACTTTCAGATACCTATGCAATGAAACACACCAATTTTAATTAATATATTTGCAGCCCTATAACACAAGTTTTATGATTTATGGCAAAAACCTAATATAATAACACATTCTGTTGATACAGACAAATCCTACTCATTCAAAAAGGGAAGAAGAATCTCAAATAATAACATGTAATAAACATTTACATTTTCCTTATCCAATTCATATCCAAAAAAAAGCGGTAGAAACACATTTGTCGAATAGCTTATTACCCAAAATGCATATCCTAGGACTATCTATTAAGCACTGAAAACCGTAAGCATATTTTGACAACAGCAGGCCAAGATCAAGCTATTTGGTACTCATATCAAGATTACAAATCTTGACACTAGATCAAGATGCCAAAATCCTGCACTCGAGCACAATGTTCAAATGGACAAAATCATATTGCCTGAATTTCTGGCGATTCTGATTTGGAAGTCAGCCCAATTTCTACATTGAAACTCTGCACCTCCCTCTAGTCGGGCTTCTTTGATATGTTCCATTTGCTACATAGCCAACGTTGAAATACAGAAGGTGAAAACATTTAGAATTGAATCTGATTTATTGATATCTGAATCTTATTAACAGTGGGATTCCCGCCCTCCTCCCCAAAAAAAACTTTAGTGAAGTTTTAAAAATAATTAGTATGACAACTAAAATATATCTTTCTCATTAGTTCACAGATTAGAACTACAGTGTTACTATTTTAAGTAAACAGAACAACAATATTTTTTCATAAAGTACCTTTAGATTTTTTAGTGGAGCTTCTTTTGCTTCTTGGACTTCTTTTTCCACCTGGATGTTTTTCTGTAATAGGCTTTTCCTCCAGCTGGGGGTCCATATGGACATTTACAGATTTCCTCTCGGTCTCATCTTCCTTACAGCTTGGGGTACAGTCTCCACTGTCCATATTCTCATTGTTATTGATGGTGTCCTGCTCACCTTTATCCTGTCGTCCCATAGCAATGCTACTACTTGTCAGAACCTCATTTCCATCATTGTCAAGTTGATTTTCATTTTCATCAGCTG